GGGGGGGGGGGGGCGGGACATCGAAATGTGTGCGTTTGGCGGGGCGTTCCGGAACGTCGGATGGCGGCCGATGGCGCAGGGGCCGGGATTGCCCGCCGGGTCTCTCAAGGCGGACCGGGGACAGCGCGAGCGCCGGGCCCGCGCCCTGGCCAGCATCCCTCTCACCTCCTCGTCCCTGGCTCCGTGTGTATACGGCGCTCCTTTTGCTCCCTCTTTCCCTCTTTGCGTATTCTCGCCCCCCTGCCCCTCCCCCTGCATCGCCCCGGCTCCTCGGCGATCTCCCGCGCGTCTCCTTTGCCTGCGCGCGCACACACACACACACGACAAGCATGAAAGTCGACCTGGACGAGTGCATCGAGCGCATCACGCGCCTCGAGCTGCTGGACATCTCGCTGATCAACTTCCTCTGCGAGTCCATGAAGGAGCTGCTGCTGCGCGAGCCGAATGTCGTGCACATCAGCGCGCCGGTCACGGTCGTCGGCGATGTCCATGGGTGCGTGCCGCCCCTCCTCCCTCCCTCGCGGCTCCCTGTGGGCCCCCATGCCGCACGCGTGTCTTTCGGGGGGGGTGGCTGCCCGGGCGGCGGCGGGCCAGGATCTGACATGTGGCTGTGCATCTGCCTGTGTGTGGGGGCCGGGCCTCCGCCGGGTGAAGGCAATTCTACGACGTGCTGGAGATCTTCAAGGTCGGCGGCAAGTGTCCGGACACCAACTACCTGTTCCTTGGGGACTTTGTGGATCGCGGGCACCACAGCGTGGAGACCATCACGCTGTTGATGTGCCTGAAGCTGCGCTACCCGGACCGGATCACCCTCATCCGGGGCAACCACGAGTCGCGGAGCATCACCCAGGTGCGTGGGGCCAGCCTTGGCCGGGGTACCCCGATGGCCATCTTGTCGGGCCTCCCCGCCGGCCGGTTGGCTGACTGTCTTGACCCCCCCCCCCCCCCCCCCCCCGCCGCCGCCCCGGGCCCGGGCCCCCCTGCTGGGCTGGCAGATGTATGGCTTCTACACGGAGTGCCTGGCCAAGTATGGCACGGCGCAGGTGTGGACCTACTTCACGGACATGTTCGACTTCCTGTCGATCGCGGCCCTGATCGATGACCGGATTTTCTGCGTGCACGGCGGCATCGGGCCGACCGTGCAGACGGTGGACGCCATCCGGGCCATCGACCGGTTCAAGGACATCCCCACCGACGGGCCGCTGGCCGACATCATGTGGAGCGACCCGGACCCGGTGAAGGAGGACTTCTCGGTGTCGCAGCGGTGCGTGGGTCGTGGGGCCTGGGGCGTGGGGCGTGGGGCGTGGAGCGCGGGGGAGGGATGGGCGGGAGGCAGAGCGGGCCTGCGGTCATATGGGCCAGCGTTCTTCGCACACACACACACACACACATGCCCCCCAGACGCTCATGCTGACCCTCGGTGTGCTGGTCAACAAATGCCCCCACGGGCACGCGGCTCTCCGCACATGGGCGTGCGTGCTGCCGGGAACAGGGGTGCCGGCTTCACCTTCGGCAAGCGCGTGGTCAATCGCTTCTGCGATGTGAACGCCGTGGACCACATCCTCCGGGCGCACCAGCTGTGCATGGAGGGCTACCAGATTCTGTTTGACGACCGCCTGACCACGGTGTGGTCGGCACCGAACTACTGCTACCGGTGCGGCAACAAGGCGTCCATCCTGGAGGTGGGCGAGAATCTGGAGCGCAATTTCAACATCTTCACCGAGGCCCCGGAGTCCAAGCTGGAGGCCCCGGCCATCCCGAAGGTGCGTGTGTTCGGCCGCCGCCGGGGGGGGGGCTTTTTCCTTCTCCTCCTGGCCCGCGTGGTGCTGTGCTGTGGTTCTGACAGGGCGCCTCTCCCGGTTCCGCAGGTGGTGGACTACTTCCTTTGAGCGATGCGCCGCCCAGGCGTCGAGGTGCCCCCCTGGTGGCTTCCTCTTTCCCTTTTTTCTTTTTTTTTTTGCTGCCCCCTGCAGGGGGATGTCCTTGCGCGCCCGTGTGAACAGGCACCGGGCCCTGCACGCACACACACACACACCGCGGCCCGACTCTCTGGAGAGCGAGAGAGGAAAAACAAAACACACGCCCCCCTGCCCTCGCCGACGTGTTGCATCTGCATGCGGGCCCTGTGCCCCTGCCTTGGCTGCCTTTGGCCCTGCCTCTTGCAGCCCCGTTCTCCTTCTTCTGGCAGCAAGGAGGGGGGGGGGGCGAGAGAGGGGCGGGTCTTATTCTAGCGGTTTATTTTTAATGCAGGAGGGGGTAGCCGACCAGCGCCGGTGTGAGCGCGCGCGCGCGCGCACGCCGACACCCCGGCATGGCCAGGCAGAGGGGGATAGATTACAACAGAGGCACGGAAAGGGGGCGAGAAGAAGGAAGCAAGGAGCCGACACGACAGAGGGGGAGACCGAGGGGAGGGGGAGGGGGCGCTCAGTCGTCCTCCGGGTTGTCGAAGAGGAAGTTGGCCGCGAGGTTCTCGTCACGGTCGCAGCACAGGAAGGCGTTGAGCACGCGGTCCTCGGAAAAGCCGAGGGCCATGAGCTGCGTAGGCAGCGCACAGGGGGGGGGGGGGGGGGGGGGGCACACCAATCAGGTCAGATGGCGATGAGGCGGGCCGTCTCTCATTTTCCCCCACGGCGGGCCCCTGCCCGGTGGTGGTCCATCGGGACTCCTCCCGGTCCGGGCCTTGTGCGGCCCATCCATAACAATTGGGCATGCCCCCGGGCGCCGCTCCGCGATCTCATCCTTCTTTTGTGCGCCCAATTCCGCCGCCGGGGGGGGGGGGGGGGGGAGGGCGGGGGAGGGGGAAGGCGGGGCCCATGGCGGGGGAAGTGGATGTTAGTGTGGGCGTGTGGGCGCGTGGGCGTGCGAGCGCGTGGGCGCGTGGGTGCGAGCCCGCGGGGCCGGGCGGAGAATGGGGCAGGCGGGGCAGGCGCGGCACACGCACGCGGCGGATGGACTCCAGCTCCTGCGGGGTGATGGCGATGGACCCCTCGGGCAGGTCGTTGCCGTCCGGGCCGGGGCCCTCGCCGTCGCTGAGGATCTCCTCGCCGGAGATGGACCCGCCGTCCTCGCCGGCGAGCATGCTCATGATGTCCTGGTCAAACTCCATGGCATCGTCGTCGCCGTCCTCGCCGGCCTCATCGTCATCATCATCGTCGGCCGCCAGCAGACGGATGAACTGCCGGGGGTTCCGGGAGATGAGCTGTGGTCCGCATGTGCGCGCGTGCGCGTGGATAGAGGAAGGGGGGAGGGGCACGCGTGAATGGGGTGTCGGGAGTGACGGCATCCGGGTCAGGCACAGCGAACAGGGGGGGGCGCGTGGGGCATCACACGTGGGGGGGGGGAAGGCGGGGAAAACAGGGGGGGGGGGGGGAGAGGCAAACGGACCTGGAAGAAGGGGGGATTGGTTTGGGCAAAGTGCGCCAGGATGGGCGGAATACAAGGGGGAGAGGCGGCGAGGCAAACGGACCTGGAAGAAGGGGGGATTGGTTTGGGCAAAGTGCGCCAGGATGGGCGAGAGGGCCGAGGGCTGGGCGCGCACGGCCTGGCGCAACTGGCGGATGATCGGCAGATTGCGCAGGGCTTCGAGAGGGTCTGCGAGTGGTCGGGGGCCCCGTGGCCCGGGGTCGGCGGGAGGGAGGCGCGTGAGAAAGGGCGAGGACGGAAGCAGGGCCGGCGGAAGGGGAGGCGGCTAGGGGTGTCCCGGGGGGGGAGGGGGCCGGCACGCACTGTCATCATCGTCCTCCATGTCGTCGTCGCCGTGCATGAGCGAGAGCAGGGCATTCTGGGAGTACTCATCGTCGGAGCCCTGGTCGTCGTCGCTGGCGCCGATCATGGAGGCGCCGGCCATGGCGCCGGCCGAGGCACCGCGCGGAGCCGGAATGAAGCCCTGGAGGCGGGGGAGGCAGAATGTGAGCCGGGTGGCGGGAGGGGGCGGCAGAGACAGCGAGGGGGCGGCGTACGGAGAAGAGGAACTCCGCGGCCAGGTCCGGCACGAAGTCCGCGGCCTGGAGGGCGCGCTCGACGATCGCCCGGTCGAAGCCCATCTCCATGAGGCTGAGGATCATGGACTCGAGCTGCTCCGAGCCGACGGCCGGGCGCCCGGCCGCGGCGGCCGCGGTGACGGCCGGGGAGACGGTCTCCGCGGCCGCGGTGGCGGCGGCAGCGGCAGGGGCGGCCGGGGCCTGGTTGGTGGCGGCAGTGGGCTGCGAGGGGGTGGCCGGGGTGGTGGTGGTGGTGGTGGCGGTGGTGGTGGTGGTGGCAGCGGCGGGGGCGGCGGCGGCAGCAGTGGCAGCCGGACGGGCCGGCTTCGGCTCGGCGACCGGGCGCGAGCGCGACTCCACCACCACGAAGAAGGAGGTGGGGTTAAGGCTCAGGGTGTTGAGGACGGTGGGGTCCGTGAGGACGGCGCCTGTGTGTGTGTGTGTGTGTGTGTGTGCGGGTTTTCCACCGGGCGGTCAGCGACGGGAGCACACATGCAGGCGGGCGGGCGGGCGGGCGGGCGAGCGGCCAGGGCCAGGGGGACGGACCGGAGAAGATGAGGCGCAGGCGCTCCGGAGGGGCGGTGCCATGCTGCTCATGGAGCACACGCTTGAGGGTGAGGATCTGGGTCCGGGCCGAGAGGAGGGTCAGCATGGGGCGACGAGGGGGCGGGCGCGAGTAAGAGCGGGCGCGGAGCCGGGCCGCGCTGCGGGGGCCGGCCAGCGCCCATGACGCACGGTCTCCTCGGGATCGATGTCGATCAGCAGCTTCTTGCCGGTCACCGAGTGGACGTTGACCTTGAGCGACATTTTCCCTGTTTGAATGTCCCGGGGCGTGGGCGGGCGCGAAAAGGGATGGGGGGAGGGGCTGAGGAGGGGGTGGCGGTTTGGGAGCGAAGGGGCGGGTTGGTCTGGGTGCGGTCCAGGGGGGGGGCGTGCGGCGTCCGCTGAAAAGCCCTCCCGTCGCCTCCGCTGCAGCGCGGGGGGGGGGGAGGGGGGGCGGCTAAGCACGCCACGCGAGAGGGGATCTGCCAGGCCGGCGCCACGATGGACGCGACCACGGCGCGCGCACGCGCGCGCGTGCGCTCACGCACACGGTCAGACGTGTGTGCGGATGCGCCAGCACACACGCCCCTCGCAAGCCATGGAGGCCGGCCGGGGGGAGGGGCGCGCCCGGGATGATGGTCCCCCCCCCCTCCCCGGAGGCCGGTGCGCCTCGGGCACAGGACGTTGCGTCAGGCACCACGACCTGGGCGGCCGATCGCGCGCGGGCGCGCGACGCCGCCCCGCCGTCCGGAGTAAACACTAGGCCTCCGGACGTCCGGGGCGTCCGCACGGGCAGGACCTTTCCGGGGGGGCGGGGGGGGGGGGGCGCCAACCATGACAGCACACACGGGCCTGGGCGTGTGCGTCCTCCCGGGCGGGGCGGGGGACGCCCTCGCCCGGGCGCAACGTCACATATCGACCGCGCGGGCGGCCCGCCCCCGGCCGTCACGCCGGCAGAGACGCGCCCCGTTGCCGCGACAGACTCGCACGGAAGGCGTGTGGTGCCCGTTTCCGGGCGCGTTTTCCGGGCCCCGGCAAGAACCACCTGGAAGGGGAACCGGTGCCGGGCCGCGCTGCGCCGCCCGAGGCTGAACCGCCCTCGCCCCGCCTGCTGGCGCGCCGGGGCGGGGGACGACGAGCGCCGCGGTGCCGCGCAGCCCCCGGGGGACAGGAGTTTGCCGGGCCCCGCGGCTCCGGCCGTCACGCGCCCCCGCGAGCCCGGCGTGACCAGCCCCCAAAACGGGTCCCCACGAACCGGCGCGATCTGGCGGCTGCCTCTTTTGGGCGGGCCCGGCGCGGTGAACGGCGGCGAACGCCGGGGCAAGCCCCCCCCCCCCCTCCCCCCCGATC